ACCAACCATAAAATTGGCACAAGAAATTTTACAATTTGTTGCGAGTAGAGCTAACAATTCTCACAAATTAAGAGGAGGTGTAGTGTTTGTTGATAAAATTCCTAAAAGTCTATCAGGAAAGATTTTGAGGAGGGTGTTGAGGGCTGGTAAAGGTTTTAAAGTGCTTACGTTAGAAAAAGCACGTCTATGAATTTGCTAAAAAAAAAAAAAAAAAAAAATTAAACTCGGGTATTTGCATAATAACGTCCAAGTCATTGAAAGCCCACAACAAAATTTTATAATCATTAGTTCGATATAAAACGTATGCGTATTATTTTAAAATTATTAGATAAATATATACTCTTTAACTTCTATTACTATTACAGTATTAGTAATAACGTATCTTTGATTTAAACTTTAATTCAATTTTAAATTGTGCATTTAAAGGGTTATAAAGGTTTTTTATTTTATTGAATAATAAAATTATTATTTTTTAAATCGGATAAAAAGTTACACATATAGCTTTGTTATTCTAACGTTATTTAAATTTACCGACGATTACAAAAAAAAAAAAAAATTACAACTACATTTAACATACAGCTTTTATTGTATCTTTTATGAAGTGATTCATTATTTTCTAAAAATAAAACCAATAAGTACTTCAGTTGGTAAAATTTATAAAACTTTTATAATTTCGAAGCGATTAAATTTCTTAAGCCGGCACCAGATAAAACAACGAACGAAAGTAAACTTTCAACCCAGTAAAAGAAAAGGCAAATAAATGTAAGTAATCGAAGTGACCTAGGTGGCTTAAAAGGTCGCATGTCAACACGCAGTAGTGAGAACTATCTTATAGATCTTTTGTATGTTTTGAAACAAATTAAAAATTTGCTTATTATCTCAAATATTTTTTGGTTTGTTTTGTAAATTACTGCCTCCAGACTGAAAATTCGAAGATAGCGTTATAGTTTTCGAAAAGTTAGATAATTTACAGAACAAAAATCTTAAATAACAAAATTTTAATTTGCCCCAAAATTTATAGGAACAGCTATAAAAAAATTATCCCAACATACTTTTTAAAATAATTCTCCTCGAGTAATCACTCGAGACTATTACCATTGAAGGTGTACAGTCAAACTCCTCTATAGTCACACCTTCGGGATACAAAAAACCGTGATTGTAAAGAGGTGTGACTAATATAGAGGTATTTTCTATATAGTTATAAATAATTGGTAAAAATAAATTTGTAATTATACCAATTTTGTGACTATAGAGGAGGTGACTATAGAGGGGTTTGACTGTATTAAAATTTGTTTTATGGATTAGGTCGATATTAATGTAGATTGATATTAACGAGGGTCATGTATATAAACAAAAGAAAAAAAAATAAAAAAATAAAAACTATACTCAATGCCTTTCACTAGAACTCCTGTCAATATTTATGTGGTAAGTGGAACAGAACTTAAGTAGATTTAGAATTTCTTAATAAAATTATAACTTTAGGGTAGAATTTATTCTATATAAACCTATACTCAAACCCTAAAAAATCATAAATCACTTAAATTCCATTCCCACTTGCAACAAGTATAATAACTAAATTCTTTATAATAAAACGCTACAAATTTTAATAATCTAATACAAAATGAATAGTACAATAATTAAATTATAATAAATTATAATAAATTTAATATAAATAAAGGATAATAAATTTTATCTATTTAAGAAATTTATATGATGATAGTGCGTAAGTAGTAAATTTATAATAAATTTAATACAAAACTAATATAATTCTATCTAAACTACTTATATTACTGCAATAGTCAGTAAGTAATTAAATTTTTTTTATAGTAAAATATTATGCAAAACTAATATAAATATTTAAATTGTTTATATTACTACAATAGTTGTAAGTACAATGATAAATTTTTTATAGTAAATTACTATACAATTTATAATCTGTTCATAAGGATAGAATTGCTACCCAAAAAATTCAAGTAAAAAATTCAAGTTTTTAGGTTATGGTCAGGATTTTGCCATTAGATTGGTGTCTAAACCCATTTTTTTCTATCAACATTTACAAGAAAAACTTTTAATTAATGCGCAGAAAGCAGTTCATATATTGAATTTTGTGTTATGAGCGATTTTTGACGAAACGAACGTTTGCTTGGAATTTTCCTCATCATGTTACGTTACACCTGATCTTGAGATTTGAGTTTAATCTGTCTAATACCAAACTAGTCAGTAAATATAGTAATTAAATTATTTACAGTAAATCACTATATAAATTATACTTTAAAACAAACTAACTCTATTTAAATCGTTTATATTACTATAGCAAGTAAGTGCATTAGCTAAATTTTTTACAACAAATCACTATACAAATCTACTACAAAACCTTATCTAAGATATGTATTATATCACTATAGCAAGAAAAGTATTTGATTTTTTACACTTACAATTCATAGTAAATCTAATACAAAATTAATCATATCTAAATCACTAAAATAGTCTGTAAGTATAGTTTTGGATCGGTAGGGATTCGGGTTGGCCCAGCCCAATTGGAACACTAATTATGCATTACTACAATACTTAGTCAGTAAGTCAGTAACTGAATTGCTACAGCAAATCACTATGCAAGCCACGAAAATACCAATATCACTATGCAGTCACGAAAATAACATAACTACCGTAAAAGTCGGGCACGAGTACCGGTGCGATACAATTTTCCAAATAGTGAAAAATTAAATATTACGTAAATTATACATCACATGTACACATAAATAGTATTTAAAAAATTGATCTACATTATTTGTCACGCAAGGTACTTGTGTCCGACTTTTACGGTATTTAAATCATGTCATAGCAAAATTACTCCCTAAATCACTTATATCATTATAGAGAGTAACATGAGTGCGACTTTTTACACTACCTAAATTTATGACGTAGTATGTGATAGACTATTTGATGTAAGTCAAATTATTTGAATATAAATATAATTTTTAAATAATTTGTTCGATATATTTTATTATTTCCTTTTTCACAATGAGCGATATCGATATGCA